TCATGCCTAAGCTAACTCTCATTTTAATTAGTAGTTATTCTGTATTTTTTAAATAACACAAAATCAATTATTTTATTATAAAAATTATTATTGTTTGTTTATTTGTTTATTGTAACTAAAATAATTTAAAATTATCAAACTGTCACAGTTGAAATAATTCTAAAAAATTTAGAAGATTAGCATAATGTCACATATCAGCTAACACCTCTTTTCATTGTTAAAACGTTTTCAAGTTCGTAAAAAAGAACTCCATAACACGTAATTAAATAAATTACACAAAGTAAACATATTAAAAGAAAAAGAGACAGAATAATATCAATAAAAAATAACAATGAAATGGTCTTTGTATAAACGTACCAAAGGATTTAAATGACCAATCTTTCATATGCTAGGCTACCCACGTAACTCGCATGGGAAATATTTTTTATGCTCCAGGACCACCCAATGATTTGGTGCTCCCTCTCACAACACTAATTTTTTCTTTCCCTTTTTTTTTTTTTTGATATAAATGGAGGGCCTAGCCCAGAAAACCTACAAAATCAAGTTATGAAAACTACCAGCTGTACGCTCTACCAGCAATCTCAAACAAAAATGATTCCAAATGGAACCTATGTTAGAAGGGGGAGAGGAAAACAGCCTCATCTCTTCACCCTCACAGCATAAACCAAGTTTAGCTAAAATGTCAGCAACCTCATTCTGCTCTCTAGGAACAAAAACAACTTGAACCTGATCAAAACCCGCAGCAGTGTTTTTGATTGATCCAATTAAGCTAGACAGTCCACAAGTTACGGGTTCAGCCTCAAGACAAGAGATGGTTTCCTTACTATCACAACCAATCCATACCTTGTCAATTGCTAGCTTTTCAGCAAGATTAAGGCCATACCAAATCCCCCTAAGTTCAGCTTCCAAAGGAGAGCAAGTGCCTATGTGTTGGGAGAAACCACTCAACCAGGTGCCATTTGAGGAGCACACCACCCCACCACAAGCTCCTATCCCAGATGCCTGCATAACAACCCCATCCACAAAAACCATAGTATCATTTAGAACCTTTCCTTGATCAGCTCCACCCGATAAACATACAGACTCTGAACCAGCTGAAAAAGGATCAGCACCACTAATCCTCTTCATACCTTCTAGATACTGCAGAATTCTAAGAATTGGATCCTGTGGTCTAGTAAATGAAGCATCGTGAACTGTGGAATTTCTCCACTGCCATAGGTACCAACAGGTTACAAAAAAAATTTCCTTCCAAGAATTCCACAAATGGGAGAAAAAAGGTTTAAGAAGATTAATTCTAAACCATTCTCTACCATCTGTTGAAAAGAAACTAGCTGGGATTTGACCTCCAAACCACCTTCTCCAAATATTCCTAGCTATTGTGCAGTCTCTAAGGGTGTGTAGTACAGATTCCTGTTCCAGTCCACAAGAAGGACAAGTTATTTCCCCTCCACTCCAATGACATGTAATGCTTCTAACAGGCAGCCTATTCAGGCAAGCTAACCACAGAAAAACAGCAATCCTGAAAGGGCCCCTCCACTTCCAAATAACTGGCCAGATTCTGTCTTTATCAGAATTACTGCTTATCAAGTGATTATAAGCATTTTTAACTATAGATTTACCTGGGCTCAACACCTTCTAGTTCAACCAATCCTCTGAGTTGCCTGGTTTTGGAGGAGCAATATTACTCAGCCTAATGCAGGTATGAGTATCCAAATGCTTGATCAGGTACTCCCACTTCCAGTCTTCAGTGCTGGGATCCACAGCATCCCACACACTAAGATCCATATCTGCCAAAGGAGGCTTGAAGGATGCCAGCTCAAACAAAGTATTCTGCCAACCTCCCCAACAATCTGTCCAGAACTTCACAGACTTACCATCCATAACTACCCACTCTAGATGACAAGATATCTTAGAGTGAGCCAAGCAAATGCTCTTCCACAAAGGAGAGTCACAGGGTTTAGCTATCAGAATTCGGTTAGGATTTTGCTTCCTCCCATATTTTCCTAGCAACACTCGAACCCAAAGGCTATTTTGACCTGTTATAAGATTCCATGACAGCTTCTGTATGAAGGCCTCATTCTGAATTTTTAAATTAATAATGCCAAGCCCTCCACATTCCTTAGGTTGGCACATAGTCTCCCATGCAATATAATGGGCTCTCCTTTTGTCCTCTTGATCACCCCAAATGAAGTTCCTCTGCAACCTTTCAATTTCCTGGCACACATGAGTGGGGATAGTATTATTCTGCATATGGAAACTAGGAATAGCAGAAATCACACTTCTAGCTAATGTAATTCTGCCTGCCATTGATAGGCACTTAGATTTCCAACCTTGCAGCTTATTCTGGACCCTAGATATAACCTCAGCATAATGATCCTTTTTAATTCTCCCATGTCTCAACATAGACCCCATATATCTGCCTAGATTGTCTACCTTCTTGAAACCACTCACATTAGTAATGGAACTCCTAACATCCAGAGGAGTATTCTTAGAGAAATAGATACAAGATTTCTCTATGCTAACACTTTGTCCAGACATCTTTGAGAACTTATCCAGACATTGGGAGATGCAACTAAGCTGACTTAAAGAAGCCTCAGCAAAGATGATAATGTCATCAGCAAACATAATGTGTGATAAAGGAGGGCCATATTTCCCCACTTTAATTGGCAGCCAGTTACCCTCATCCACCTCATCCAGGATTAAATGTGACAGCTTCTCCATGCATAGGAAAAATAGATAAGGGGAAAGAGGATCCCCTTGTCTAATTCCCCTCTGAGAATGAAAACTAGGAGTTCTAGCCCCATTCCAAAGGACCTCCAAGACAGGACTAGAGACACACCCCATGACAGCTTCAATTAGTTCACCAGGAAACTTCAAGTCTTCTAGAACCGATCTGATGAATTTCCAGCTAAGTTTGTCATAAGCTTTTTCTAAGTCTATTTTAATAGATAAGAATTGCTTCTTTCCCTGCATTCTGTGCATAGAGTGTATGAGCTCCTGAACAATAATAATATTGTCCTGGATATTTCTCTTAGGAACAAAGCCGGCTTGGTTTGGGGATATAAGCTCCACAAGCAGGGGCTTTATTTTGTTAGCCAGAATCTTACTAAGACCTTTATATATAGTGTTACATAGAGCTATAGGTCTAAATTGCTTCATCAAACAAGGTCTCTCAACTTTGGGGATCAACACAATCAAGGTGTGATTCAGCTTGCCAATCTGGTTAGGATTATGTAAAAAGAATTGCATGCTTCTGAAGACTTGATCATGAAGAAGCTCCCAATTCTTTTGATAGAACAAAGCTGGAAACCCATCTTCACCAGGGGCTTTTAACGCTGGCATTTGAAAGAAGGCTCTCTTCACTTCCTCAGGGGAAATGTTTAAGTCCAGATTACAATTCAGACCCTCCCTAATATCAGGCCAGGAGTTGATAGTAGGGAACCACACAGCTTCTTCAGAATTCTCTGTAAAAAGATTCTGGAAAAAACCTCTGGCCAACTTGATGAGTTCTTCCTCTCCAGCTACCCAATGCCTCATGCCATCCTGAAGCTTCAGGATTTTATTTCTTTTCCTTCTGACAATAGTACTTGTGTGATAAAACCTTGTATTTCTGTCGCCATCCCTTATCCAATCCCCTCTAGACTTTTGGAACCAAATCTGTTCTTCCTGGTCAAGGATCTCAGATAGCTCTTTCTTCAGATCAGTTTCCAGCTTCTCTAGATGACTGCTACTAGCAGAATTCACAAGCTTTTGAATACCCTCCATCCTTGCAATCACTCTGTTCTTCCTATGATGGGTGAATCCAAAGACATTTTTATTCCAATCCTTCACCAGTGGCACAAAGGATTCAAGGTTATTCACCAGATCAGCTAAAGGGTTCCATTTTTCCTTCAAGAAAGATTTGAACCTGGCATCTTGCTGCCAAGCAGCCAGGAATCTGAATGGCCTTTCCCTCCAGTCACTTTCCTCTTTAGACATTCTAACCAAAATTGGGCAATGGTCAGAAAACAGTCTAGGGAGGACAAGGACGCCAGCATCTTCATAGGAGGCTCTCCAATCTTCATTACCAACTGCTCTATCTAGCCTCTTAAAAACTTTGTTCAAGTGAAGGAACTTTGGGCCTTTCCAAGTAAACCTGTTACCACCCCCTCCCAAGTCCATCACCCCACAAGCATTGAGGACATTGACAAATCTATTGCACCTATTCAAATCAACAGGCCCTCCTCCTCTTTTTTCTGAGACCATTGCTATCTCATTAAAGTCTCCAGTTAAGAGCCAAGGGGCATTCATAGTCCTTCCAATGTGCTTCAACTCCTCCCAAAGGACCTGCCTAGTATCTTCCTGGGGACTTGCATAAACAGCCGTCCAGAAAAACCCCCTCCTTTCAGGAAATTCAACCCAGCAATGCATATATTGATCATGTTTATTAATGAGAGAGACTTTAACATCTCTATTATTCCACAAAATCCAGATACCTCCAGCAAAACCATGAGCATCTGCAATCAAATGATTAGAGAAACCTAGTCTACGAATTATATTAGTGGCTTTATTACCACTCACCCGCGGCTCTAAAATAGCAGCTAAACTAACATCATGTTTCCTACAAAATCTATTAAAGGTACTTTTAAAATGCTTTTTAGCAGCACCTCTACAATTCCAGGTAATTATGTTCATCATGAATTTTGAAAAGGATGCAAGATTTCTAAGTTCTTGCTACTTATATCATTATTCACAAAACTTGATTCTCTTAGGATAGCAATTTCTTCCTCACTAATTACCTCCTTATCAACATGCATAGATGAGCTACTTGGGATATCCTCAGCAGATACAAAATCCATACCTTCCTTATTCTCATCCACCTTGTGAAATTCCTTCATACCCTGATCATGAGGATCTTGATCTTCCACTGTCTCCTCCCTATTTAAGCTGACCTCTGCTGACTTCTTGAGCTCAGAATTAGCTACCTCCTTGGAGCAATCACCCATCATCATCAAATCTCCCTACCTAGTACCTTTCTGTTGATCCAGCTTAACCTGATGAACTATTCCAGCTCCACTACTGCCCTTCTTATTCTTTGATCTACTGCCTGAAGCACTCACAGCGAGCACTGGTCTGTTTGCACCTTTTCTTTTGGCATTCTGGTTCTTCGAAGCAAGATTCTTATTAATTGACATAGCAGGCTTACCACCAGGGGCCTTCTTCAACTGCTCATTAGCAACTGCCTTAAATTTCATCTCTACATCAGTGGAGTGATCTACCTTCTGTGACACCTCATTCTCCTTACTTACTTTAGCCAAAGAATGGACTGCTCCTTGCTTGTTACCCTCACTAGTCTCCTGAACATCATTCTCCACCTTAGGATTTGATTCTGAAATCTTCAGATCCTTTATGTTAGAGATATCTTCACCAAATTTCCTTCCACTGACAGCTTCTTTCTTCTGGATTTGCTGCTGATGTTTTCTCCTACGCTGGACCACCATCCAAGGGCCTACTTCTTGGTTGCAGGGAAGTTCAACAGTTTGCTCAGGAGGCATATCAGGCTTAGCCGAAGCTGTAGACTTAACATAATCAGGACAAGAGTTCGAATTGTGTCCATACCTACCACATTTAATACAAATCAAGAACAAACCCTCATACTCCACCATCTTCCTACAACCATCAAGGATATACGACCCCCTTAGAGGCTTAGCTAGATCAACCTCAATACAAACTCTAGCGAAACGGGCCCTATCATCAGTAGATGTGGTTCTATCAACTTTGAGCACTTTCCCAATCACATTCCCCAGCTGATTAAGAAAGGGAAACTCACAATATTCTTGGGGAATCCCAGGAAGGCGGACCCAGGCTGCCACCTTGTGGATGTTGGCCTTGTCCGGATCAAAACAAGGTTCCCATTTGCGAATGGCCAGGTAATGACCTAAAATAACCCAAGGTCCTCCCGTAATAGCTAGATTAAGATCCTCTAGACTACTGAATCTTACTGAAAAAAATTCATTACCAAGGTCAGCAACAGTAATATTCCCTGCCTTAGCCCAAAGCGTTTCTAGTCTCTTCTTCATGAAACCCACCTCTATCCTTTTGCCAAGCAATTTGACAATTAGTGCATTCTTCCAACGCTGCCTCATCCTTGCTCTGGCTTCACTATTACTCTTGATTTCTACAGATCCATCTGCCCTAAAAATCATTTGGAAGCCCCACTCCGAAATCTCCCCCAAACTCGGGTCCAGTGGTTCCAGGTCAGGAACCTCTTCCTCAGCTAGCCATGGAAGCGAGTCACCAGCAACTCCGTTCTCCATACCCGTAACCTCAGCAAAAGATCTTTGATTAACCTTCATCGTTGGAACCGATTGATACTCCTTCACCGATTCTCGCATGCGTACCTCCATGGGAATTTCCTCCCCACTCTTAGATCTCTTAGTACTCCTTCGCGCCATAGAAAGTGCCTCTCCATCCTTGTTGATCGTTTCCTCCATCGAAATCCCAGCAAAAAACTTGACGAAACCCTATCAGAAGTGAAACTTTTCGCGCGCGTGTGCGTACGTGCCTAACCCATGTTGTGATTTTTTAACTGTCTTCTTCTTTTCCGTTTTACTTCTGTTATTTTTTTTTCTTTTCCAATTTTACCCTCTCATTTACACTAAGGGACCACCTACAAAATGGTGGCCCGGACCACAATAAATTCTCTCCCTAACATGGACATGAAGATGACCTTGGCCCACCATATAACAGTATATAGAAATTGAGTACAAATGTAAGAAAGGAACCGAGGGACAATGGTGTCATCTTTCTTTTTTTCTTTTTAAAGACATAAACAATGCAACACAATTGCAAAGAGATAAAGAAGAGGCACAACACCGATTGTGGTGGGATTAAATAAAAAGCTTTAAAATGATTTACAAGAATACCTGTTATTACAAAAGGAAACAGAAAGCTTTACTGTAAAAGAAAATTCTCATAGTAAAATGAATTGAATCAAGTAAGTTCAAAATACAATGTAACTGATGTATATATCAGTATCAGGAGTAAACCGAATAAACTGTAATAACAGACTAGCTAAGTATGGAATTAACTAACTGTCATAGTTAACTAACTAAATAAAATTAACTGCTATAGTTAATTAACTGATGTGGACTCTATACACTAATACCCCCCCTCAAGTTGGGAGTAGGATGTCAATGAGTCCCAACTTGCAAACATTCTCCCTGAAAGGTGCTGGGTGTAAGGACTTGGTTAGAACATCAGCAAGCTGATGTGCAGTGGCGATGGGCAGTAGTTTGAGAAGACCACTTGTAATTTTCTCCCTTGTTATGTGACAGTCAATGTCAATGTGTTTACTCCTTTCATGAAAGGTTGGATTCTGAGCAAGGTGTATTGCAGATTGATTGTCACAGTAAACTGGGATTGGGTGAAGCAAGGGAACATGAAGGTCACCAAACAGATAAGCCAGCCATTGAAGTTCACATGTGATGGCAGCAAGGGCACGATATTCAGCTTCAGAAGAAGAGCGTGAAACCGTGCTCTGCTTCTTCGATCGCCAGGAAATGAGAGATGAACCAAGAAAGATGCAGAATCTGGTGATGGATTTTCGAGTGTCTGGACAAGAAGCCCAATCACTGTCAGCAAAACCAGAAGGAGAAAGAGAATTATCTGCAAGAAAGAATAGACCTTTGCTGGGAGAAGTTTTGAGATAGCGTAAAACATGACAAACAGCTATGTAATGGGCTTGGGTAGGTGAAGCCATAAATTGAGTGAGCTGCTGTACTGAATGAGTGATGTTAGGTCTAGTGGTAGTGATATATAACAATCTGTCAACTAGCCTGCGATATCCTTCTGGGTCAGAATAAAGATCACCTTGGTCACGACTGAGCTTGTGCGAAGGAGTGAGGGGAGTCGAAGCTGGTTTAGCAGCAAGATTACCTGAATTAGCAAGTAATTCCAAAGTGTACTTGTGCTGATGCAATATTAGACCACGTTTAGATCGACTTACTTCCAAGCCAAGAAAAAATCTCAATTGGCCTAAGTCTTTGATACGGAACTGATTATGCAAGGAGCATTTGACATGAATAATCTCGTCCATGCTATCACCAGTCAGCACAAGGTCATCAACATACACCAGTAAAGCTGTAAAGGAAGTGGCAGTTTTCTTTGTGAACAGAGAGTAGTCAGCCATGGATTGAATATATCCGAGGCCTTGGAGAGCACTAGTGAGTTTGGCATTCCATTGCCTACTTGCCTGTTTTAATCCATAAAGAGATTTCTTGAGTTGACAAACCATGGTGGGTGAGCTACAAAAGAGACCAGGAGGAAGCTTCATGAAGACCTCTTCATGTAGTCCACCGTGAAGAAAGGCATTATCAACATCAAGTTGTTCCAAATGCCAATTCCTAGCAACTGCCAAAGCAGGGAGAAATCGAACAGTGGTCATCTTGGCCAGTGGTGAAAAGGTTTGAAAGTAGTCAACACCTTCACATTGAGTGTAACCCTTTGCAACCAATCGTGCTTTATAACGATCAACAGAACCATCTGGTTTTCTTTTAATTTTGTACACCCATTTGCAACCAATGGGTTGTTTATGCAAGTCCTATAAATTATTCTAGGAATTATCATGCACTCATTATAATTTTCCGGGATACTTTTTCGGTACACATTTATACCGACTAGCAGAACCGGTATCTGCACTTTTCTTCCGAAAAGCGACTTTCAGCATTCTTAATCACTTATCGCAATTATTAAAGCCTCTTAATAATTATTAGGGTCAATTATGGAATCATTTCCTAATTAAACATAATTAATTACTTAATTTCCTTAATTAACGGTGCGGGTTCTTACAGTTATCACTTTGACCTATATGGCTTCTTATTGATTGTTTTTATTACAATTTTGACCTAATTTTAATAATTAATCTAACCATAATTAGAACAATGTAAGACCACTTTAAACCTATATAATTTTCTATAGAATTTAATTACATCATCTAATTAAAGTTTAGACCAAGTTTTGCTTATTTACAAAATGGTCCGTAAATTTATATATATTTAAACTTTGACCCATAAACTTTTCAAATATTTCAATTAGGGTCCTAATAGAATTGCTCGGCATTAATTGTATCATTGTCCATCTTATCATCTCAATTTCATGATTATTTGATCATTACTTGTCATAACTTGTCACAATTTTCTTGATCTCTTGAACACTTGCTTGATTTCCTTGTTTAACCTAACTTGATATTGATGGTTGATATATCTTGCAATGCAAGTAGGATATAAAAAGTTGGCTTGAAGCCTAAGAAAAAGAGATTTTGTGTATGAGATTTCAATAAAATGATAGATGTTATATGGATACGAAATGTTTGGAATTAGGTATCAAGGAGATTGAGAACAGTGAGGACCAAATCCCCTAGAGATAGCCTTAAAACATAGAGACCCATTCAAGTTCAGGGTTTGCTCGCTGGCACACTCGCTCGAGCGAGCTGCTCAACAAGCAAGCTGTTGCAACTTCGGCAAGTGCACCGGTCGGACAAGTAATAAAGTGATAAAGTAAGTTGTCGAGTGATAAACCTTTGGTTTACCATGGTTTTAGGCTAAATTATACAAGAAATATATCATAGATTGCATGGAAATTAGGGTTTTACATCATAAAGTCATAAAGATTAAATCTCTAGCTAACATCTTGTAATATTTCTTATTTCAAGGTATTGTGACATCAATTAAGGATTTATGGAGCAAAAGGAAGCAAGTTACAAGTATTTGCAAGCTTAAGGAGAGTGTTTTAGCGCCCAACAGCGCGTTAAAACGCTCTAATGAAGAAAAATAACAAAAACTCACTGGAAGAGCGCTTTTTAGCGCCCAACAGCGCGCTAAAATGCGCTGACAGCCACAACTTTCCCTTCGAAGAGGGCGTTTTGCCGCCCAACAGCGCGCTAAAATGCCCTAAGGCAGACAGAAATAGGCAAAGAGAGCATTTTAGCGTCGTAATAGGCACTAAAACGTGCTGATACGATCAATTTTGGGCCCATGGAAGATTTTATATCTTAATCAAAATGTGAACAAGATTTCATGAAGATTAGAAGAGAAATTAAAAAGATATATTCTCCTCTATAAATAGAGGGCCTTGGGACCAGTTGAAGGAATTCAACAACAGAGAGGTTTGAAGAAGCACAAGGAGGAATTCTGCTACGGAGCATTGGAGCACTGAGGAACCAAGTCAACATCACACCAATGAAGGCTTGGGGAACTATTTTCTTTTCTATTGCTTTTGAATTCAGTATGCTAGGCTAGATTTTTATGTAGTTAGGGGTAAATAGAACCCACTTGAATCTTATGCTTTGAATTAAATTATCTCCGAACTCTTTTCTTTTTATATTTGAATAAATTTATCTGTCTTTAATGCTTTCTATGAGTTTGCTCCTTATAGATTGATTTAGGGGAATTGTATGACAATAAGAATGTTGGTGCATGAACCCTAACTTGGTAAATTTATCACAATCTATGATCTAGGGATAGACATGGGGTATTTGTGCAATCGTGAATTCTTGATCTTAATGCATGTTTTCTTGGGGAATAACCGGGGAACTAGGGTTCTTCTAAGATCACATAGATTTAGGGTAACAAGGAATTGAGCCCTAATTAACTTAGAAATAATTGATTGGCAATATTTTAAGAACAGATTCCTGACAGTTTAATTCATAACATAAAGAGGATATTGGAAAAAGTCGAAACCCTAACTACGCTTATTTTTAATCTTTAAATCGATCATCTTTCCAATTATTTTTAATTCTGGATTTGCTTGTTATTAATTGTTTTTAATTTCAAATTTCTCATCTCAATCTTGGTTGTCCAATTGCGATTAGTCAACTAGTGTTTGAAACTCAATCCTCGTGGGAACAATCTCGTACTCTGGTACACTTTTATTACTTAACGACCGGTGCACTTGCCGAGTCGCAACATTGATCCCATGAGGACTGATGACCAATCACTAATTTATCTATTTAATTAAAGTTGGATCGATCGTGAAAGGTTGATTTGAGAATATTTTGATTTAATTAAGGGAAAAGTTCACAATGCCCCTGTGGTTTACTTCAAAATCACTTATGTCCCTGTGGTTTTTTTCTTATCACATATGCCCATGTGGTTTGTAAAAGGGTATGTTTTTTATCACATATACCCCTATGGTTTCTTATTTTTTACAAAGCACAGGGGCATATGTGATAGGAAAAAAACCACAAGGGTATAAATGATTCTGAAGCAAACCACAGGGGCATTGGTGAACTTTTCCCTTTAATTAAAGTAGAATTTTTAAACTACTTATTTTTAGTTTTCAATATTTAAGAATTTAAATTCAGAATTAATAAATGCTAGAAAATTGGTTTTAAATTTTTATGAAAGAGGTAGCTAGGACTTAACTTCTCCAATATTTTCCTAACGAGTTTACCTATTCTTATAATTACATTCAAGATCCAGTTATTAACAGTTCT